CGCCGCCGCCTTCCCCGCTGCGCTGCGCTGCGCTGCGCTGGGCGCGCTGTGCCTCCGCCGGCTCCGCGAGACGCTCCCAGGCTCCGGGCTCAGCCCTCCATGCGCTCCGCTCCCGCGGCTCTGCCCCCCTTGGCACCGGCTCCGCTGCGCCGCCGCCGCCCCCCGGACACGGACACGCACACGCCCTCCGCCGCCTCCAGGGATCCGGGCGCCGCACGGCCCGCACACCACCAAAGTTTGCCCGAAAGTTTCAATGCATGATCCCAGCTTCGGGCGGGCTGCCTGCCGGCCCGGCTGCTCTGTCCCTTCGCGGGCGCCGGGGTCCAAAACGGGGAGAGGAGCGGGGGGTTGATCCCAGCCTCGGGTGCCTGGAAGTAGGGAGAGGGGGCTGCCTGGCTCGCCCGCCTTGCTCCCCTTGCTCTGGCCACCGCTGGCAAAAGGAATCAAAAAAGGAGAGAGGGAGAGAGGAACAATCCGAGCTGTGCAGGCAGGGAGAGAAAAATAAATTAAGGAGCGGGTAGGAAGAAGAAGCGGGGGGAGACCAAACTGCTAGCAAATCCCGGTTCACAAGGAGAGCCGCTCCTCCTAAATCTGCTCTCGTCCCTCCTGTGCGGATCTGTGCTGTCCCTCTCCCGCCTTCCTGGGGGACAGCCTGCACTGCACTGCGCTGTCTCGCACCCGCTCTCCGCGCTCTCCCTCTGCAACTGCTCCGCGCTGCTCTGCCCGAGGAGATCTAAGAGTCCCTCCCCCGCAGAGTCCCCACCCTCGCTCCTCCCCCTCTGTCCAGGGAGGGGCGTAATAGCACCCTAAAGCCCCCATGTCCCAGGTCTCAGCCTCCTGGAGCAGCAGAGGGCACCGGGGCCTCAGCTCCTGTCACCCAAGCTCTGGCTGCTTCTCCCCCTCTTTTTTGTTCTGTTTTGCTCGCTGTGGGCAGGGATTCAAGTTGTTTCCAGAGAGGGGAGAAGGGGTTATCCCCCCCGCCCCTTCCCACTCTCCAGCAGCCTGCCTAGACTCCTGGCACCCCTGAGCAAAGTTGTAGCATCAGGCCTCCCCCCTCACCAGAAATAATGATAATAATTATCAAAGAAATTACTATTTTCTGGCCCCCTTTCTGTCCGGGGCCGCCCAGCTCACGCATGCCAGTGTCCAGCCCTGCCAAAGGCATTCTGTCCCTAAAAGCTTCTCACTTCTGAACACCCTGAGCAGGGCTCTGAGCAGTCCCCGCTCCCTGTGTAGGTTTTGCTCGCCTCTGGCCCCATGTGAAGCCCCTTCTCCTCTCCGAAGAGGCCTGTGCACGCGGAGTGGGTGGGCAGCTGGAGCACCCGCATGCTGTGGCGGGTGAGCTAGCATGCTCTCAGACAAACCTCAGTTTGCTTTCTGGAAATATGTTTAAGGGAAAAATGCAGTTTAGACTAACTGGGGCCACCACACATTCCCCAATCAAGCTCCTTGACTCTTGCCACCCACAGTATTTCATCACCGGGGGATACTATTTCTTTCCCTTCTCTCTCTCGTAATGATTTGTACACGTAAAATAGAAACAGAAATATCTCCAGTCGCTGTCCTCCACAAGTCTTAGGTACTGGATGGCACGGAGATTCAGGACCAGCTTTTCAGGCGCACCACCGCTTGGGAGAAGGAGACCACGAAGGAGAGCAGGATGGGGAGCGCAACGCCTTATAATCATCAGAAAGCAGGTATTTCCAATACTGTGCCACAGGCCTGTGATGATGAAACAGGCTAAGTACTGACTCTATAGAGGCACCTGCTGGTTGAGGGAAAGCAAAAAAAAAATCTTTTCATTTGGTAGTTCTTAGATCTGTTCTTCCCTTTGTTTATGTTTGAAGCATTTTATGTTGCCGACTCAGGCAGCATTTGGCAACGTGGGGCCCAATTATGGCCTAATACTCTGAGATTAACCAGAGTTTTGTCCAAGTGAGGGCAGGACTTAGTTCTGCAGGATTGGGCTCATCATACAAACGGTGGGGCTTGCGGCAGAGGGGAGAGGTCAAAGCTGTTTGAAAGCCTGGGGAGGGATATAATCCCCTTTCCCTCAGGGATCACGTTCCTGCAGTGGGCTGATGGGGGTTGTTCAAACATTGCAAAAGAATCCCATCTTTTTTTCTAATTGTTACAGAGAGTCCTTCTGTGGCAGCAAATATCCATTAAAACAACTGGACTTTCCCGTATTTAGAATGTGCTTGCCAAAAATCTCCTTGGGGAAGGGGGAGGCCGAGAGGCCTAAAGGGAAGAGGAGAGGATATTTCTCTAAATAAAGGTAAAGCCAAAAAAAAAAAAAAAGTCCCCAGAGCTTGGCCCTCATCCAGCGATGTTATACGCTGCTCCCTTTATACAGAACCATTATCCTCTCTTGGCCCCAACACTGCTCTCCATGGGCAGCAAGAAACAGATAGCTGTGGCTGTGGAGAGAGCAAACTACACACATTTTTTCTTTACTCTAAACGGTTTCTTTTTTTCGAATGATTTTTTTTTTCATGAATGAATGTTGTTTTAAATCAAACAGTGTTACCAGTCCTCTGTCTGGGCAAAACTCACAAAGCCTGAAAGCCCCACGCAGGAGGGATCAGGGCTGAAGGTCCCACACAGGGATCCATCACAATCATTTTTGATCCCCCTGTGGGGTCATATCCCTGGAAAGCTACAAAGAACTGCAAATAATATACAGCATTTGAGCTTCTAAAATTACCCCTACCGCACTGCTCAGCTGGTCTTGTGTTTCATCTGGATCCTGTGGACCCCAGATGTGTCAACATCCTGTTACCCAAAAAACAGACAATGTGAAATTTGCACAAAGCTTTGTGTAATTCTGTGAATTCAGGCCCAAGCGAGGAGGTGTGTGCGCTTTCCCTTGTTAAAGTTATACAATAACTGTTGTCGGGTGATTAGCCGTAAACATTTCAGTGCTGCCAAGAGTGTTTATGATAACTGTCACACATCAGAAAAATAAATACATGCCAGTGCTACATTTTCTGTATGGTTTTTATTTTCTCTCTCAGGGTAAGAAGTCATAAGCAATTGGAAGATGGGAAGAAGAAATCAGTGGCCAAGGTTTTAAATAATGGATACCTAAAAAGTACTACCTTAGATTCAAAATGGCTGAGCAGAGACTTATATGAGAATCATTAGGCGCTGAGCACATTTGAAAAGCAGGCCATAATTTCGTACTTAATCCTGGACCAGTGAAATCAGCCAGAGCTTTGGCATTGACTTCAATGGGCATATGATTAGGCCCAAATTAGGTGTTTACATATGAATTTAGAAGCTTAATTTTAGGCTTCCATCTCTAATTTTTTTTAAATCTCGACTGATGCTTCCAGTGCCCCTCATTTAATCTCTCCATTAAGCATGAGAACATGGAAAGATCAAGCTATTTTCAATAATTCTTTTGGTGGGTTTAAAAGAACCTGAGATTGTATGCTGAGAAGTGTTAGTGTCACTTAGATTAATAAAGCACATAGCCCAAATCAGGGACAGTGATTTGATTTGTTGATTCAGATCTATGAAATGCATTCCCATTGTTTTTACCACTTGTTCTCCCAAAAGAGCAACCTGAACAATTCTGAGGGGGTGCATCTACATTTTCATTAATGTGCCATAATTACAGCGCATTAAGTTTAGTACCTGTAATGACAGGTACTAACATAATGCACTATAATCAGTGCTACTGTGCATTAGTGCAGAGGAACGCTTTTTTAGTGACGTTAATGCACATTAGACTAAATCTACTGCACATTAGCACGGGTTTTGCCCACCGCACTAATGTGCAGTAGAATTAGTCTTCTGCACATTAAGCATCTCATGTAGATACATCCAGGGAGTCCCAACCAATTAGAAACTAGAACAGGAAGTCTGAGAAACGTAGATATTAAAAAACAAATGAAACAAAACAATATTTTCTGAGAATTCCATCTTGTGGGTGAATCTGAGGGGATCTGCATCTGGATACTCTAAATTAGGAGAGAAGTCAGAGAAACAAAGAGTAATTTTACACATTTTAGTGCCAGAGGTATTTCTTCACACACAAATTACTCTCCAAGGCTGGAGCACAGCACTAGAAAAAGAAATGGCTTGATCAAGTTTATTAGCAGACCTGAAAAAAGGGCCAAAAAGGAGTAAGACTATTATAAAAAAAAAAAAAACAGTGAAGTTGACAGGTCTGAATCCTACGTGTTCAGAGGCATTTCAGGTGATTTTTTTTTACCTTAAGAAAATCACATCTATGCAACACATTCACTTGACGAGGGTAGAGCCGGCTGCTGGATGACAGCAAGGTAGCAAATCAGTTAACTGTTCCATTTTTTTCATGCACCAACAAAAAGGTATAACGAGCTTTCTGCGATGCTTTGCCAACACTCCCTCTGGTGTAGTACGGATAGAATACATGCAGCGGGCACTGGCAGTGTTAATACAGTTTTTGTTTGCAATCATTAGAGATGCCCAAGCACCACCCACTGGCTTCTCTTTCCTCTGTCACTCAGGAGTTTGTGTGAAGATCTTTAATGCCTAGAAAGAAAAAAAATGCACACTGCCATCAACACTTCCACCCATTCTGTTATTAATGTTACATCCCAGATGGCTTCTTCCACTAACAGAGACTAATTCAGCAAAGGGGTTTGTTCCTCTTCCCTTATTTTCCTTTCCATATCTTTTCCTGTTCTTCTTTGTGCTACACGCTTAGGTAGCAGAGGCAGCAGCAATCAGTTGGACTGCATATGCTATGTGCTTTATTAATCTAAGTGACACTAACATCTCTACTCTAATATACAGGTGCTCAGGTCGCATAGTGGTAAGTACAGATACAAGTTAGGCAGATGTTTAATGCCTTACCTGGGCTTACACTATATCCGTAGGAGCAAATGCTCTTGCAAAAGGCTCAGGTATTAATGAATTTGTCAAGAAAATAATTTGGACTGATTTTCCTTCTGTTACTTGCAGCCCATATTTTATACTACCAGTGTTGGTAATAATGTACATGAATCTGGGTGTGAAAACCAGCAGATAAATTTGGGGGAGCTATCTGGATTTTTAAGCTGACCAGCTTGATGATGACTCAAGTTCCAGGGTTCTGGACCCATGTTGCTTATTGAAAGAAATGGAACTCAGCATCATTTTTTATAACTTTTATTAAAACTATGAAACAAAAATAAAATCAAGGCAACATATCTTCAAAGCCAAGCTATTGTTAATAACATTAAAGTAAATTAAGCACAAAGTAAAACACTGTTAAAATCAAGATCAAATTATTGATAATTTAGTATCGAATTAGAATAACACCATCAAATTAGATCATCATATTAATGCAACAAATAATCATCCCTTATGAGTCCTAAGAAAAAATCTAAGGTGGTGGCTTTTGGTTATAAAGCCCAACTCAAGAATTTTAAAAACATATCTATAACTTGGAGGTGGTTAATTATTTTGATGCTGAATAAGTGGATGTGTGACTGATAACTCTTTTGTATCGAAGTTAGCATATAATACCTTTAAACTTCATAGTACTTTTAAATATAGAATGCTTAACACATGTCAATGACCATGTTGAGAAGACACCGGGCTGTTTACACCTGGAAAATTTTCTCCCTGGTGCCATACCTGTGTGATGTGTAGATACTATAGGTGCTTATATCCATTTGCACACACACACATTTTTTCACACTAAAATTAGGGAAGAAAAGGCTGGAATGTTTCCCAGCTAATACATACAATCAGGTAATAATGGAGGAAAAAAATTAAAAAATAAGATACTTTAGATGACATGAGTTTGACCAGTTCTCTCAGACTGCTGGACACTCGTGGCATAGGATTTGGAACTGCAGTCGAGAGACAACCTGTGATACTGCTCTACGCAACTTGCTTCAGTTCATTTTGAATTAGGTCTTCCTTAGGTAGCATAAGCTCTTGGACAGGCCATGTAGGCCAATGATTCAGAAGAAAATAGGTATTGTACGTGTCATAGAGATTGAAAGCCACAAGGTACCTCTACCACTTACATACAAAAAAAATCACACATTAAAACACTTCTGAGAAAGCAAGCAGAGACTTATCTGGATGAAAGGTCTTTGGCTAGGAACAGAAATTGCACATAAATTGGTATAAATGATCAGAAACTGGTTCAAATCTGTGACACAACAGAAATTCAGTGCGCATAAACCACTTTCAAAATGTCTGAAACAGATTTAAGACAAACCTGGACTGATGGAGTATCAGACTTAACTGATTTAGGTTAAACCACTTTATTGACCTTCTGTCCCAGATCCCCTCCAAATTTAAGTTAACTCACAGTCCCCCAGCATCCCAGGATGTTTTGCATCTCTCCTGCAATGCCCCTCCCTGCCCCCCAGGGTAGGTGGGCTAGCCTTGGCTCAACCTGTCTGCCCAGATGAGCAGGGAAGCATGCTCTAGTATAACCCAGGTTCTGGCCTGGGCCAGTGCAGGCATGTGGCTGCATTGCTGGAATCAAAAGTGAATGTCTGTTCACTTGCTTATCAGTTCAGTCTATGCAGCTTAAACTAATCTGCGAAGGCTGAATCAATTCAGCCTTGGGCTTTTTGAATATCTGTACTTAGCCTTAAGGTCATGTGACCAGTTCAGAAACAGTTCAATATACAGGAATCTACAAAAATAGCTAATAAAACAACCCTAGCAGCAACTATTCAACTAACCATCAACAAAATTAAAGTTCAAACATATGATCTGTTTCATCATTTCCAATTTCTTTTCTCCCAGTCTAAAAACAAATGTACTTTCTGGAACTAAGCTCTAGGTCAAATGGCTTGTCCTCTGAAAGCTGCATTTTGATAGAGAAAAGTTACTTTAAAACATATTAGGATAACATGTACTTGAAATATATATATATTTTTAATTACATGAAGCCTAGATTACATATTTATATGAGATCTTATTTTTCCCCAATGTAGCTACATTAAGTCTTAAAATGGTAGATGGGCAAGAGGAAGGGTAATTGGATTACCATGGCTGTCATTATTAAATCATATGAAATTCCACCCAAATGCAATATCTATTCTCTCATTTAGTGATGATTATCTGGTGAATAAGTTTATATTTTTACCATCTGTATATATAGAAAGAGCAATATGCACGTATTATGGGCACAGCCAAGAGCCCAAGAGACCAGGGCAGTGGCTAGTAGTTATTATTTGTTGTAGCAGCACCTGGTAGGTGATTTTCAAGCCCAGAAGAGACAGGCTCTGCCCCAAGGAGCCTGCAATCAAAATCTGGCAGTGTGTTCTCACCTCCAGGGAGATGTAACTACACTACAGGCATTCCAAGTCTGGGATCTCATCTTTTGAACTTCACACTTGGAAAACTTTAGCCAGTTTGCAACCAGAACAGAAAGGAAGCTGCATAAGATGGAAGAAGCATGTATGCACACAAAAGCTATACTTCACTGTGTGTGTGGGAAGATGAAGAAGAAACTGGTATGAGGCCAGTTATAACTACAGAACTGGTATCTGTGCTAGCCAAAGATCACCACTAGAATAATTCCACTGATACAAAAACTGAGGCCTAAGACTGACCTAACACCTTCATCCCTTCGAGGTTTTTGGCTCAGGGACAAGCATGCCATCTTGGGCTATTCAGTAGCTAAAAGGTCAAGGTCAAAATGGGCCCCAGCCTAGCAGTAGGGGTATGTGAAACAGTCCCTATTCAATTTGGATTTGGCCCAAATCAGGGACAGTGATTTGATTTGTTGATTCAGATCACTGTCCCTGATTTGATTTGGCTGAATCTGAATCTGAAGATTCGATGCTAATTTGGAGAATTACCAATTCGGACATAGAAGCAGCTTTAAAAGTTTTTTCTACATACCTTGAGGTAGCAGGCATGGCTTGTGAATGCTGCAATGCTGGGGCATAAGGAGCATCCCACAGGAGTGCAGGGGGGGCCCTCCACATGCTCAGTGGCAGACCTGAAAGTGGACCGGAAGTACTTCTCTCCACTTCTGAGTCTGCCAGGGAGCACGCAGGGCCCCCACTCCTGCACCTCCCCGGCTCAGCAATCGGCAGCAAGGGGACTCTGGGTGCCCCCCCGGACCCAGGAGGCACTAGTCACCGAGCCCAGGGGAGTGCAGGGGCCGGGGGGCGGGAGCGCGCTCCCTGGCTGACCCAGAAGTCCACTTCCAGGTCTGCTGCCAAGCATGCTGGGGAGCTCCCTGCACTTCTGTGAGACACTTCATATGCCCCACCATCACAGCACTCACAAGCCCCTGCTACCTCCAGGTATGTAGAAAAATCATTTAAAGCTGTGTCTGTGTCCAAATCTCTAAATCTTTCTGAATCTCTCCGAATCGATTCAGAGGGTTCTGATTCGATTTGGAGAAATTAAAGGGTCCTCTGATTTGATTCAGATTTGGAGATTTGGCCACCGAATAAAGCCAAATCTCCGCCAAATTGAATCAGGGACCAAAGCTTCACACAGTGCTACCTAGCAGCCCATTGGCCTAGCATGATTAAGGAATTTCCATAGCTAATAACAGAGAAGTGAGCATTATGGCCAGTATCACACAGCTGCCTTGGAATTCCCACCCGCTCACATAAAAAAAATGCAAAACTCTAGAGCACTTGGTTCAGAGATTATACCTTTTATTAGACCAACTGAACCAAGCGTTTTAAGAGTTTTGCTTTTTTTTTTTTGTATCAGACCAAAATGGCTACCAAACACATCCCTCAAGCACTTACATCTGGTTCAGCTGGGGGCAGCCTTCAGCTGAAGTCCAGAACAAAGATTGAATTCATTGCTATAATAAAACAATGCTTGCTAGAACAAGACATCTTAGCTGTCCTACCACTGTGCCCCTCACTGGTTAACATTAAGATACTGACTACAGCAGGAGAAGTACTGGGGCAGGACCATTTTCCTGGCTGCCCTTTGGAGATTTATGCTGCTGATTCTCATTAGACTCAGTTTATGTCTCAGTTGATCGGAGCCCGGACAATATTGCCATAGGAACCCTCCACAGTTGGTGGACCAAAACTCCCTGAGAGAACAATACATCCTCAGATATCATGGTGTCAGATAAACAGTTTTCATCTCACACAAGATGAGCCCCGTTTGGTGAAATAATCCAGGCAGGGTCTGGTTCCCAGCTAAAATGGTTTCACAATCTAGTGCTATCTGTAAAAAGCTAAGAAGCCAGTCTCCTGTCACTCACTGCAAGGGTACACACAGAGCCACTTTCATGGAACTAATATTGCATGGGAGACTGACAAATTTACTCAGTTCTGTTTCTGACTTTCCATTAACATGACAGGCTGCCCACCCTTTCCCTTGGGTACTGATGTGCTGTTTTACTATATCATTGTTAGAAGATTTATCTCCTGTTTCTAACATCTGGGCTGGGCTGGGCTGCGCTCAGCTAGAGAGCTTTGCAATGTTCCTCGCTGACAAAAGTGTTTGTTTGTTAAGTACCTCTGAGATGGACTGTGTGTTTATGCTTAGGAAAAATAAAAGCAGGTTTATGGGCAGTAGGTTTCTCAAAGGTC